CACAAGGACTTAACTCGAAACGAATCTATAATGCCAATGTTTCTTCTCTTACATATTTTTTACGAAGAACATTTTGCAGCTGGCCGCTGATAGCTCTTCTTAACCCGTTTTAAAATTTCAGTAGCAGGCCTGATGGCGAACAGGTGGGCACGGACCTCGAATCCGGACGCTACTGAACACTTCCGCTAGACAGGCGTGCTGGAAGATTGAATCTGCGTAATACACGCTGAACTGAGGAGCTCTTGGTCCTCGGCTGCGAGGACGGTCGTCTCGTGTGGGACATATAGTTAAAACTCGGTCAAGGTCAAGGTAATCACCATTCCAGGTCATAAGTCAAAAGGATCAATGCCATCTAGCGGATTTTTAAGGAACTCTGTGATGGACAAGGTTGCTTCGAAATGTGTAATGTATAGAATAGGTACATTTAATCAAGATGTTATTTTAAAACAGTAATTAAACTGAAGTGCAGCAGTCCGTTTTTGTTTTTGACGTTTTTATTAATCAATAGAGTTTCCTTTTTATATATTAGTAGCATATATCTAAGTGTAATCGTTTTTGAATAAAATTGAATAATACGTCTAATGGTTATAAATATTAATTTACATGTTGTTAATATAACTAATTTTAACGGATAAAATTAAAAAATTCAGGCCACGAGTATCCTACATGAATCCTGTTTGGTGACAGATAATGACGGCAAACAATGTCACGGGAATACAAACAAGCGGTATAATTAGAAAAGTTGCGGAACCAAACAAAATTAATTTCCACAAGGTTGATTCGCGGTTCGCGGACATCAAATGTGAAATGTGTGTCTACGAATTAGCGACGTGTTGACAAAAACATCCTGCAAAAAATTTTGGTTAAATATTTGTCCCATTTTTCAACTTATGGCAGCTCTTGACGCCTGTATATAGAACATTATTGCAGAGGCCGGGAAGTAAGGGATTTCTGGACGAGTATGAGTTATAACGTCGTGCGCGGGCGATGACAAAGTTTCCGCGTTCTTTTTTGAAAATAATGCAAACATTTCCGAGTATGTTTGAGAAACATTACATTAGTAATAACATAAGTTGGAAGTAAGGGATTGTCAAACTAGTATGACTAATTATACCAGTCATGCAATCCTCGTTTCCGCCGAGGTATATATAGTGCTTTTCTCAAACAGTGCGAGTAAATGATAAATGAGTAAAGAATGAAGATGTATAATAACAGAAAAAGTTAAATTAGTTTACCATGACAAATTTTGCTTCTTATTTTAATTAGCCGAAGTGCACTGCCGTTCAATTATTGTATTTTTACTCTTCTCATTAGAACTCATTTTCGCGATGACAATATAAAAAAATATAACAAAAAAGAACGTCAAAGTACTTCCTATTATTTTACCGCCATTTTAAAGCATGTGGTGTATACCTAATCGAGCTCAAAATAAGTAATAACATAGACAATATTTGTTTAATTCTCATAATTACAGATGCTGATGCTATTGAGCAGTTGACTGTATGACAGTTTTTCTTTATTATGTTTAACATAGCTTTTTGTTAGTAAATATATTTAAACGTTAAGAGCAGCGGACAGTAACGGAATTTCACACTTGTTTCGTCTAAGAGTTGCACTCTCTAAAATGACACACTTTCTGGGTTCTTTTTTGAAAGCAATGCCAACATTTCCGAGCATGTTTGGGAAAAGAATACTGTAAATTTATCTTCTTTAAGAGCCTATGCATGCGGCGTATTTTATATGCCGCATGCATGCCGTCAACGCGCGTCATCTGTGCGTATACGCGCTGCAGACGCGCTGTAGCCGCGCGTATGTATAAATAATTGGCTCACATACTAGTCTTGTATTATTATAATAATGTATGTAAATGTTAAGTATGTTAAGCTGTTGCTAGGGACAAACACGTCGTGCCACTCAGAGCTTTAAATCGCAAAGATCTGAGGGGCACTGTCACTGCGCCTGTCACCCTGAGACATAAGTTGACAAGTCCCATGTACCTGTAATTTCCACAGCACCCTCCAAAACCGAAACAAAGTACTTTTTTGCTCAACATATGAACAGCCCTATATTGAAGCTTTCGGGTAACAAATACCGATACTTAACAGAAGACTTCACACTGTGAATGTAAGTGAGCGTTACTGTGTTCCGGTTTTAAAGGGTGCTGGTGAGACTTTTCAACTTACGTCTTAGGGTGATGACGGGCGCAGTGCACCTCAGAACTTTGCTATTTAAAGCTCCCGGTGCCAGTGCAACTGTTATGGACAGGCGTGTCGCTTACCAACAGGTGCGCGACTTGTTAGTCCCGTCATTTGGTATCATCGACCGAAAGATGATCAATGAGGGTGGTATTAAATTGAATCCCTCCGATTAAAAGTAAGATCATCCAAAACCCACACTAATTATAAATCATAATCGTCCCCTATCGGAGTTAACCACAATAAATCATAAGTACTCGTATGTGAGAAAAGAGAATGTGATATATTAAAGCGTGTGAATAAAAATGTTTTAACGTTTAATTATGTTTAGAATGATTTATGACGTCATCTTATTAACGTGCCCTTTGCTAAACACTGTCATTCAGGACGGCGGCGATTTATTTTTTAAAATCTGGTATGGGAACAAAGTGGAAGCGGAAATAAATATGACAGTAATACAAGTGAAGTTTCGTAGCATCTGCGTATTATTATTAGAAGTGTTAAAGAGTGTTATTTTAAAATAATCAAAGCGTTTTTATAAATAAAAACCGACTTCAACAGTTCGTGAAATTACATCCATTTGCCTAGTTTTATTGAAATCGATTATCGGAAAATGCGCGAAACTGGAATCATCGCTTAGTTTGCCACCTTTAGAGATGTAATATTTTCTACAAATTTAAATGGGGCCAATACTGGGGTGCCCTTTTTCCAGCAAAAAGAATCATCAAAATCGGTTCCAACAAAAAAAACAGTGCAATTTAGAACCTTCTCCCTTTTTGAAGTCGGTTAAGAAGAGCGGCCCAAAGTCCAAATTATAATAACGCACACACTCAACACTGCCCCGCACTAGGAAAACCCTGTGTCGCGGGTTCCAAGGACACTCACATAGACAAACTTACGAGATAAGTAAATATAGGCCACACAAATATTTCTGCCGGCGCGAGAATCGAACCTGTGACCTCTGCGTAGCCAGTCACTTAACGGGTAACGGTTACCAGTCACAGGAGGCAATTGTCAAGCTTAATGTGCCCTTCACTATATATAAGAACTTAGATTGGCTAAAAATCTATTAATCCGCTGGACTTGACGGAGACCACGGAGGCAGATTGCATCTTTGGCGGTAACACGAAGTAATATTTCGTACACAAATGTTTTACACGGTCGTTAGCCTTAACTGTACTGAACCATTCGTAGGAACAGCAAACAAACCTTTCGGTTCTATTGGAATTTATCAGAAAGTCCATGCGTATGTTGACGCTTAAAACTTAAAATCGACTCGGTGCTGCTTACGATAAAGACAGTCCAAAGTCCAAAGTGTATAGCTTCATGTACTCTTGGCTGTACGTCGGATGAATAAAATAACATTGAAATATCGTTGATTAGAGTAATATTGCTTACTTTGTGCCTAGAATAACTAATTTCTCAAGCAAAGCTGTTGAGAATTGTGTTTTAATATGGATCCTTTGCCAACGTTCCTCACGACTGTATATCCCGCGATGAAAATATTATAAAAAGTCACCCCCCCTAGGTTTGAGAATTTATAGCCCCTGAATTATATGTTTACATTGGATTTATATCCTTTTGTTCGTAATTTCATTTGATTTTATTTACAAAATATTGTAAATTGTTTATTTTTCAGGTGAAAACCTGAAGTTATTAAGCAACCGGATTTTATCTGTAAGCTTAATAAGTTCATATAGTTGAATTTACTGACGGGTGTTGTTATTTCAATACATTTATTTTATGATACAAAGCTATGGGATGAACAAGTCGTGCACCTGGTGGTAAGCGACACTCCAATCCATAACAATTGCAGTGCTAATCAGAGCTTTATATCTCAAAGATCTTAGAGGCCCTGCCACTGCGCCTATCACCCTGAGATATAAGTTGACAAGTCCCATGTGCCTGTAAGTTCACCAGCACTCTTACCATTCAAAACCGGAACACAGTAATGCTGACATTACTGTTTAGCGACACTGTTAAGAAAATTTTTGTCATCCAAGGTCGCAAAAGCTATATGATAAACCTTTAGAATAAAGTTTTTGTTTCACTATAGTTTTGAACTTCGTAAATGGCAAATTTTTAATATCACCCGCAATCTTATTATAGACGCGTATACATTGTCCCTTAAATTTGGGACTTTGTGACAGTCAGGAGTCAGAAGAGTGTCAAGAACAGTGGGCCTACCACAACCTCTTAAAACAATATTATTATTAATATATTATTATTTAAATTATAATATCAAGTGACGGGACGAGCAAGTCGTGCGCCTGATGATAACCTACACGGCTGTCTATAACAGTTGCAATGCAGTGGCATAAATTTATTAGCAGAGCTTGTTTTGCTAATAGATTTATTTATGTTAGTTATATTAATTACTTGAACCTTACATTAACTTTTCGTAAGTTTATTTACAATCGTCGTATTAATGTCTATCACTATTCTTCTTAACATAAATTAGATTAATTTATTGATACAAACATCGAACACTAAGGAAAACATAGTTCGATCGAGCTGAATTCGAACCAGCGTCTTCCAGCAAACCGTGCTAAACGCTATGCCAACTAAGCGGACCTTCGTACGCCCATCAGGGGGTTGCATTGGGTGAGTAGATGAACAGGAATTTCATCCACCGTGTGGCAGAATCTACATTCTCTATTTTCTCTCTGCCCAATATTTGACATGTGCTTGTTTAAGCCACACTGCCCTGTTAAGGCTCTAGTGAGCATTCTTATGCCATTCCTGTCCAATGCCAGAGCTTCTCTACAGTGTTTGGCACTGTAGGCAGATGTCAGGGCTTTTGACTGCTCAAGGCCCTTGTTCTGTAGCCACGCTTCTCGGGAGAGATGTGTGCTCTCATTTAGCACAGTGAACTTTGCCAGGCTGTATGCTATCCCTATGAAGGGTTCGGGACCAATAAAGGCTTCCCTAGCACCAGCCTTTGTCAGTTCATCCGCTGACTCATTACCCTCGATGTCAGAGTGGCCTGGAACCCAGCGCAGTACCACTATATTACTTTCCCCGAGAGTGTTCAGTATATTTACACAGTTGTCTATAATCCTCGATGTTTGGGTGACTGAGGCTAGTGCATGTAGAGCCGCTTGACTATATGAGTTTATGTAAATATGCTTATCAAAGTAGCCTCTCTTCAGGTTCAAATCGGCACAAGTAATTATGGCGTACACTTCGGCCTGAAAGATAGAGGAGTATCGTCCCTTGTTCAGCTTGTAGCTGAGCCTGGGTCTCACACCGTGTATACCACAGCCTACGTTGGGTCCCATCTTAGACCAATCGGTATACCATAGAAGGCTGCCGTCCTTCCAGGTGTGACTGTTAGTTTCCCAGTCCTCCTTAGTTGGAAATTCTACCTGATAGAGTATTTTAAAGTTTTGTTTGGGAAGCATGACATCAGAAGTCATTCCCAGAACAGAGTGCTCTAGAATTGAGTCTTGGGCTGATCTCAATGTCTGGGAAAGCCATCTACTCCTTAACCTAGTGGTAAGCCTGTACATGCTGGTACTGGCCTCCCTCTGTATGAATAAATGCAGAGGAGTCAGGTCCAGCAATGCATTTAGAGCTGCCTCAGGTGTAGTGGACATGAATCGTTACTGGCAGCCACGCTATGCACTGTAGACTGCCCAATGTGACAATTGTGGTTGTTTGGCTGACTTTAGCACTCCAAGCAACTGAGGCGTAAGTCACTATGGGCTTCACAATTGCCTTATATAACCAGAGAGTCATCTTTGGTTTTAGACCCCAACGCTGTCCCGCCATACGGCTATAGATACCTAAGGCCATCTTGGCCTTGTTGATCGTGTTAGCTATATGGTGGTTCCACCTTAGGGTTTGATCTAGAGTTATCCCTAGATATTTGACTTCTGCAGAAAAGCACACAGCCCTTCCACCAAGAATTGGTTCCACTAGTTTATCTAGTTTCCGTCTCTTGGTGAAGGGGACAATGGTTGTCTTTTCCGCATTGATTGATAATTCGTTATCTCGACACCACGCGGAAATGGTGTCAAGTGCTCCTTGCATAAGTGACGATATAGTACTTTGTCAGTGCCCTCGAACTGTGATCACCAGGTCAACCGCATATCCCTGAGCGTCAATATTCAGTTCAGCCAATCTATACAGGAGCTTACCTCGCTATGCTGAGGAATCTATTTTTGAACCGCTCATTTAGCAGCTTAGAAGAAATTACTAATCACTTAGAGCTTTGCGATTTAAAACTCTGAGTGGCACTGCAACTGTTATGGACAGGCGTGTAGCTTACCATCAGGCCTCGACTTGTTCGTCCCGTCACTTGATATTAAAAAAAAACTTCGTACTGACCCATCGAGTATATAACCAGAAATAGAAAGGTAATGTCATTTAATTTATTTGAAAACTATTCTACCATATCATTACTGTGACAACTGCGCTCCGATTGGCCAGTCCGAACTCGAAACAATTGACGGGTGTCGTCATTGGGTGTCGTCAGTTGTTTCACTTCAAATCGACCAGTTAACTTGAGCTTTCTGTGTAATTGCTAACGCACTCCACGATATGTGCACCTCCTCAATCTACCTGGTGAGACCCGCTTGTGGGAGGCCAGGAGACCGGTTTGCTACCGTAGAATACGACACACAATCACACTTCACCAATGGTGAGGATACTCGAAGGACCAAAATGTTGGGGCTCGTGCCCAACGTATGTAATGTAGAATGTTCGTAAGAATGTATGTTGATGGGAATTATATGTTTCCCTGAGTACACCGTTCGGTTGAGGTAGGTTGATGCAAAATATGTAAGACACCGTACTGTCCGAAGGTCTTTATTGTACTAAAAATATACGTAATTGTACATAAAATGTAAGCGCGACAATGCGCGCGATCAGCAATATATTTAGGTTAAGTTACGACATATCTAATGTACTGCTCGTAAGGCTATAATGGACGAAAATTGCAAAATTACATATTTAATGTTTAATTACCGATGAAATTTTATTCCGTTTGTTCTGTAATTAGATGTTTTAATGTTTTTCCCCACACCAACGAATGGAACAGCACGCTATTGTTAGAGATTTTATCTTTATTACACTAAATACAGAATATTTTTGGAATAAATATGTTGAGTTGCCAGATATGTATGGCCCTTATATCGTCTCTATTTCTGGTTATATACTCGATGTACTGGCCATTGTCTTTTGATTTTTTCGAGTATTACTTATTTCACAGCAATCGTTCCGGACAGATGTCGGACAGAGGACGGAAGAAGACCCCCAAATGGTAAATTACCCTAACCGCGGGTTTCTGCAGAAATAGGTAAGGGGCAGTATATCCCTGGACCAAATTCATTCATTCATACAAGGAGCTCTACTGCCACCAGAATTAGTTAATTATTAGTTACGTTAAGACTATTTGTTGGAATCGGGCAATTCCAAGGGCTCATCACCGCCTGTAATAACTATGGCTCGTTTAGAAAGACGCTTATGTAGAGCAATTCACTTTTACAGCCTGAAATGAATGCCAATGGACTGTTGGCAGAATGAAATTGTTTTGAACTTGAAAACTTTAACCAGAACGCTTAATTTAATGCGGTTTTTATTACTTTCACTTTGTTGCGAATAAAAACGTTATTTATTTTTAAATGATCGCGCTTTATTTTATTACAGTATATTTTTTTATGATACTAAATCACGGGAAAAACAAGTCGTATACACCTGACTGTAACAGTTGCTGCGTCACTCAGACCTTTAAATCTCAAAGATTTAAGTTTACCTTCAAAACTGGAACGCTTTAAGCCCACATTAGGCTGCCTTTCCACCAGAGATGTGTGAGGAAGCTAGGCGGTGCGAGGATGTGTAGCGGCGCTGTGAAACGGCGTGATGTTTTCCACCAAAGCTGTGCGAGGATCGCTACGAGCTCTTACAGCTATGCGCGGGGTACGGTGTGGTGGGGTGAGCGGCGGTGACATGTCAGTGTCATATTTTCAGCAGCTTTAGTTTCCTACACTGTTTTACATACATTCCTCGCCCGCATCACTCGCACACATCTCTCGCTATTTTGTATGTACAAATACTTAGCTCCGCTAAACCTTTTCTACCGGAACTGCGCTAAGCGAGGCTAGGAATATGAAGTAATCCTATTGGTGGATTTTATCCTTGCACACCGCCTCGCTACGTCCCACATCTCTGGTGGAAGGCAGCCTTACTGCTTGGCAACAGAATAGGTAAGGTGGCAGATACTTCCCTAGACGAACTCTTTCAGAAAGAGCTCTACGGCTACTAAAGTATTACAAGGATTGGTTTAAAACGTTCTTAGGTTAAGTGCAACTGGACATTTAAACTTATTTAATGGCGTAATTTTAGTGTATCAGAAAACTATTATACACTTTGACATTACACAACAATATAAATGAAGAGTTTCATTAATCCAGATTGATATAATAATTTAGTCTTAAACAACATTGTGTGTAGTTACACCTGGACGAGCTCCTTGTTTAGGAGTTCGTCCAGGCAAGTACTGCCGCCTTACCTATTTCTGCCGCCAAGCAGTGTGTGAGCATTATTGCATTCCGGTTTGGTAGGGTACGGGTGATGGTGAAATTACAGGCACATGGGACTTGTCAAATTGTTTCTAAGGGTGACGGGCACAGCGGCAATGCCTCTAACATCTTTACGATTAAAAGCTCTGAGTGGCACTGCATAAGTTAGTTAACGTCCCTTTTGACAGATAGAGTATTTCTTCGAAATGTTATATTTTTTTATTTGCCACATTTCCCACTTTTGAATTGTACCAGTCTCAAACCAGTGTGCGATATTGTTATAATAATGGTTTCGTAGTGGAACTTTCAAGACATTGAGTTTTTATGACACCAAGTGACGGGATGAACAAGTCGTGCGCCTGGTGATAAACGACACGCCTGTCTATAGTAGTAAACTGTAACAAGGTTACAGCTTATTAGATTTCAATCTGTATTTATAATGCAGCCAAGACGAAGCGCAGTTGCTTGGGTAAATTAGTGATGTGTCAATTTTGCTAAGCCGATAACTTAATATCGATATTTCGTACTAAATAAGATTTTAAAGAAACGGGGCAAAGAAACTGACAAAAATTACGATGTGAAAGTAAATACTGTTGATGCACGTGAAAACTATTCCGAACAGAAATGGTGGACTTTAAAAGATAGTTAGATGATTTATTTGTCACAATATACACACACATGCAATACATACTTAAAATTCGAAATAACAATAGTACAAAAATGTAATACACTTTGGAATACTAATTGGACGCGCGGGGGTGTGGGTTTGTATTCATGTTTACGGGCGCGTTCCCAATATGTCATGACGACAAATAGTCGTGCAGCTTAAAGTGTCGTGTCTTGTATATTTAAATAAAGTTGTTCACACATAGAACAACACGATTAACTATTTACGCGTTACGTTTACACTATTAGTATTTTAGGATACGACGACAGACTGTCGTGATAACGGAGAGAGCTAGAACGACAGTCGTCTGATGATAAATAAAACGCCACTAGAAAAATGTGACAACAGATAATCGTAGCTTCAAACGATTATGTCGTCCAAACGACAAGGCGGCTGACGTGAACTGAAAAATTCGTGACGACACGATCTAGTGGGAACAGCTAGAAACGACTGTCGTCCAACGATAAAATAAACATTCACGACACAGTCACAACAGATAGTCGTGATATGGGAACAGGCTAGGCGCGACAGTCGTCCAAAGATAAATAAAATGTTACGACAATTATGTCGTCACGTTCTATTTAGGATACGCGCCCTAAGACGAAAGTGAACTATAGTTATTACCATATTTGGTAATGGGAAAGATCATAGTTTATAAAAACAGGGTCGATGGCGAAACGCATTGTCTATATTAACACCATCTATATATTATTAATGGCTAATTGATAATGTCACTCGGCGTGGGTGGTACTCGCGATATCGGGTTGGACTCTTGTGTGTAAGCTTCGGGCGAGCTAAATGGGATTCATATGGTATTATATAAAATACTAAATTTGTGATAGTATTCAAATTAGGAGTGATACAATATTTACTATTACGGCATTTTGCTTTGGGGTAATGCCGCCGATATCAATAGAATCTTTGTCCTGCAGAAACGTGCAGTTAGGGCTATTTACAATCTGGGCCCCAAAGTATCTTTGAGAGATAAGTTTAAGGAAATTAACATTCTTACACTAGCCTCACAGTAAATTTATGAAAATGAAATTTATGTTAAAAGGAATAGTAATTTCTTTAGGAAAAATAGTGACAGACATAACATTAATACGAGGAATAGAAATAAACTAGCTTTTCTTTATAGTCGTCTTCACAAAGTCAAAAAATCATTTAAGGGGCAATGTATACGCTTCTATAACAAGATTCCGGTTGATATACAAAATTTGCCTTTCACGAGGTTTAAAACTATAGTGAAACAAAAACTTTATACTAAAGATTATTATACAACTTCTGCGCACTTGGATGACAAAAATCCGTGGTAGTAACCCGTTTAGCTCATGGAAGTAGTCGCGATCTGATCTGATGTTTCAAATAAAAAAAAATATTGTAAATGTTATTAACAAAGAGCAACCCC